CCTCACTGGAACCACTGGAAGACTGGAAAAAATTAGTCTTCCAGTGGAACTCCAGAGTTCCAGTGGCAACACTGATTGGGATCATCTCATTTTGGTAGTTAAATCTTCCAAACGCAATAGATCAAAAGTTATCGGCAATTTCAAAAATTGGAAACATATGCAAAGTCTTTGCATAAAGCTAAAATGTTTCAATGCCACTTTTTGCAGCCTATACATTCTATTTCACAAATAAACATCTTTATTAAAGTTACTAGCTATATACTGTATTTATATAAACTTTTTCTATTTTATATTTTGCTAACAGTCAGATACAAGACATAATAATTAAGACTGTACAGTACTATGGATTTACAAATCAATATATAGTTTTTAGTTAAACAAGGATCGAATATATAATTAGATATGCCTTATGTAATAATAAAAACGAATTCTAGTTTACTAAAACTTACTGTCAAGTAGATGAAATTAGGTCCACAACAGTTCTAACCAGTTTCTGCATATCTAAGGCTCTCTCTTTTCCAACCTGAAGCACCTCCTCGTGATTCACTAATGGTTCTTCTATACCATTCAGTCCCTGTTCTGCCGGATCTGCACTTTTACCTTTCCCAATAGCTACCATATTAGACACCAAACTCAAGCCCAATACCCTAATTCCACAATGCCTTGCCACAATAACCTCAGGCACGGTAGACATCCCCACTAAATCACCACCTATTGATCTCAAGTACCTTGCCTCAGCCCTGGTCTCAAAAGAAGGACCGCCGACAAAAGTATATATAGCTTCTTTTAAAGTTCCTTTTGGAAATTTCAAGGAATCAGCAGCTTTAAATGCAATTACACGAAGATTATAATCATATGCATCGGACATTGGTGGAAATCTCGTTCCGAAAGCAGTCACGTTCGGACCAAATAGTGGATTGTTTCCAGCCAAACCAGGAAGGGAAATATGATCAGCCATTACACCTACCATGCCGACTTTGAAGTCTCTATTTAATGCTCCAGTCGCGTTTGTAACTATTTGCAATCATAAGTAGGACGTTTTAATAAGTAGATGAAAATGATAGTGTGTATGCTAGGTGTAGAGATTATACCCGTTGAGAAAATCTTTGCCTTAGTATATTAAATTACCCGGTTATCTGGTATTATACATTTATTTTTAACCAGGTACAATCTACACAGGTAGGTGACTTACCGATCAATATTTCCACACCTAACATCTTAAAAATTCTTACAGGCAGTGTAACCTGTTTAAGTGTGTGCCCTTCGTAAAAATGGAATCTTCCGACCATGCAAACCGTTGGTGTTTTTTTATCACCAAGTAGACCAAAAGCAAGTTTTCCTGCGTGACCCTGTACTTTAAGAAAATAAGGAAATAAATTTTTCAAGAACAAAATACTCGGTAAGCTTTTAAAGAGTGTCAGAGCATTACCTGTACTGGAAACAAACCCTGGTATATCTTCATAAGCGAATTCCACTTTATTTTCAATACTATTAGCTAATTGTCCAAGTCCTGAACCACATATGATTGCTATTTTTGGTGTGGTAAGTTCGAGCGGTAGCCGGGCACGAAGGTAGTTTGTAGCAGTTGTGAATGCTTCTATAGAAACATCATCTGTGTTGTTGATTTGGTCGTGTGTTGGTGGTGGCATTTGTTAGGATGCAAGTACGTACATAGATATTGGGCCGCGGAATCAATATTTGATATCTGATATAGTTGCAGATCATTTAACAATTACCGTTATCGTTATTCTGCGGAAAGACGGAATTCGATGTTTTTAATTTCAGTGTTATATAATTGTATATATATATAGTCGACCCTCTCAAAATCGGTATACATGGTGGACAGCTTTTGTACGTACGTATCAGTTTTGAGAGGTTATCGGATTTGAAAACATATCAACTATTCAATTTATATAATTTTTTGTGACATTTCCTAGTTTATCAACTAAACATATACTATATATACGTAGTAATAACTATATATATATACTTAGACTTTATATAGTAAGTTTTCTGTAGCAGTTAGGCTGAATGAATTTCTTCATTTTCAGAAAGACGCATTTATTTCAGGTGAAGTTTTCTGGTTGACAAGAACAGCCTTTACCATAAATTTTTGCACAATCTAAATAAATTGAGCATCTGTTCCAGATTTATAAGCGTTAAGATATATATTGATATTTGTTTTACATAATAATGAAAAAACAATGGATGACGCAAGAAAAGATGTGATACTGGGTCAACTAATATGTTTAGTGGCTTCGAATAGATTATTAAAGTCGCAAAATTGTTTCCTTGTAAAGTTATTTACACTTTTATTCACCTAGGTAAGAGAATCTACTCTACAACATATCATCATTACAGCATTAATAAAGTACCCGGATTCAATTAAATTACTTGATTTGTTGAAATAAAGATGAGAACACGTGAAAAATAAACACTGGTACCTGGGTATTAAGGAAAATTTGGCCTATAAAACTGTGCAGGGTACACATGACAGTACTGTATTTAAGGTTGGCCAATGGACCAAAAAGTGGCTTAGCAAATACCAATGGACAATGTCCATTGACATTACAGATTTAAATCTTTCTGCATTTGCCATTTACAAAATTTGATATGATTTAATAACAAGTTTTTTTCATTCGAAAACAAAGTGAATAAGAAAATACAAAAAGGAGAATCTAGAGATGTCACATTATGCCACTTTCTTAGCTAGCCATTCTTTCCATTGCTCAAAAGTCCAGCCGGAACTCACACTATCATCAATAATCCCATCAAATAAAACAGTTGGACTAACATGAATACCGTTTTGACGGCCTAGTTTAATATGCCATTTAAGATCATTGGTCACATTGTTTCCCGAGTTGCGAGCCTCAGAGAAATTGGAAGTTGCTGGAATGTTGATCAATGATGTAAATTGATCGGATTGAATTCCAAGCAGGTTGACATATTTTGCCAAGGAGTTATTGACTTGTGCGCGAGTAAGAGTCTGAACAGATTCGTCAAAATACCTATTGTAGCATATACAAATTATAAGACATGAATTTCTCCAGTCCTAAAAATTAAATAATTTATTCATACTCTCTCTGGACTTCAAATAATTTGGCTGAAAAATCAAGGAATTTAGTTTTATCAATCCTTTCTACAGCCAAGGCAGCCTTTATTAAATATTTATGTTAACAAATAGCGTTCAAGAATATCGTAAGCAACTTTGAGCACTCGTTCTCGTAATTCTTTATGTAAGGTTTAGTAACAATAAAAATATAAAACATACCTCATGAACGACACTCGAGCTCGGATGCCAGGGTTGCACCTGCTGACGGAACAAAAATTGAATTTTTTCTGGATATTCTTTTTCGATAAAAGGAAACACATCCTATAGCATTAAAAAGTAAATTTGAAACCTTTCAATGAGCAATTAAATTTTCGTGGCATATCACGTGGTTATCAAAGCAACCATACATACGTTTCGAAGTCTCAAAAAAATTTTGGCCGAAAATGGGCACTAAATAAGGAAAATTAAACGGAATTAAACGCGTTAAAGACGATAAAATAAAATAAAAAAAAAAAACGAACCACATAGTCTAAGTAAATTTCCAAAACGTGAGGAGCGGTGCATACGCCCCAACGGTGACCTTTAGAGCAATTTGCAACGCGATATAATTAAAACAGTCTTGAAAAAAGTTTGAATAAGACAAATTAAAATACACTTACCTGCAAATTGAGGTGCAAGAGCCATCGTAAATGTTAAAATGAATGAGAAAATTCTGATCCCAATTTATCTGATTACTAATTAGATTAACTTATTTTATGCTAGTAACACAAATTTAAAAGGAAACTAGCATAAGAGACATATAGATGGATATAAACCATCAATTGCCTTTTATATGCTCTTGTATAATGCTTGACGAATCTATTTTTTGTAATGACGAAATGGTTTCGTCAATACATTCGTTTTGAGGATTGATGAAACAATTTGACCAAAAATACAGTTGATCTTTTAACGAGCTTATAAATTTGTCTGTATGGAATAAAACATACCTGATTGGTCAGTATCCGGATAACAAATTTGATTGTCTAATTTTAGGTCACGTGATCATTTCATTTTCGTGGAAACGAACAATGATTTCGAATTTGATTACCGCGACAAAGAAAAAGGTTTAGCAATCAACATAACTTAGCGCAGATTTCAGCTATACAGAATTATATCTTGAAATATTACTTAACAAACTTTTTATTTACGACAAAAAGATTTTAGTATAAATGTATTACTGACTGTTAGTTCAAACGATACTTTAGAACGATAACAAAACCTTTTATGAAAGCTTTGTTTTTAGATGCAAAATTTGTAGAAGTCCTTTTAATTTTATATTTCAATAGACATTTACCGTATTTCTGCGACATGTGTATCCCCCTGTGGGCTGTACCCTGCGGCGATTTTGGATGCCAAATCTTGATTTATACCCGGGTATACGTATAAGTGTGAGGGTATTATACTTATATACCCGGGCATGTAATAGTAAAACATATTAAAAACATAGAAGTATTCATACGGTATATCCCCATATGAGTACCCGGGTACATGACACGAACTAGGGGGAATACCCCGGATACATATGTCGCAGAAATACGGTATACGTTTTAAATAAGTTTCTAAAATTAGTCTTATCTAAGTATGTTTGTAAATATATAGTGTTTATATTACTAAACCATACATTTATTATTGAAGTGATTTTTTATACATTTCGAGTTCATATGTTTGACTTTTATTTTAATCTTTACTTCAATAAATGAGCCAACTTCTTATTTCCAATTAACTATTCTATCTTATCTCTCAAACACGATACATTACGTATTATATCGTCCATTCTTCATTTTTCTATAATATTGTTATACGTAAATGAAGATAATCGCGATGTACCGAGTTACCTTCGTTATAATCATTATAATTCCGAAAGGCGAATATTCTAAAAATTTAACCTAGTTAAAAAAAAAGAAACATAAGTAAGCGGATTATAATTAAGGCTGAACGTTATTGATCGTTAGCCCAAAATCTTCGAGAATGGTGTTAAAACCGGCTTTGTCTAAACAGCTAGATACAGTTAAACGACTAATTATTAAAAAAATCTCTAGATAATTGAAACCCTTAATTAATAAATATAATAATAAACAAATAAAGATAAATAAAAAAAATTTTAAATATAAATTATATAATTAATAAACGGTAAAATAAAAAATGAAATACAAATAAAAAATATATTTAGTAAAACTTTAAAAATAACCAATGTGTAAAAAAATATTTTTAAAATTAATAAACATAAATCTAGAATTTTGTATACTAACCCGTGATATAGAATATCACATGACTCAGACAATGTAGCCATTCGAATTATGCCATCCAATTGATATAAGACACTCCAATAAATAATGCAACTTTTTACTCTTATAGCTACTGTAGCTAATGATACCTGACGAATGGCGAAACGTTTCAAGCAATTTCTGATTGACGAATTGACGAAACCTATGACGATCGATAAAGTGTATGAATATCGTTAATTTTTTTCGCAATGTAAGGTCTGTCCATGTAACAATCATTTTTTCAAGTTGCAGATTTTTCTTTTGGCATACTTACCCGGTATTACCCGAAGAAAACTTTACCTCCCGGAAGTATCCGATTTACTAACAAAAAAATATGCTGCATTTCTCCGACATGTGAGCTGTACCCTGCAACAGTTTTAGAGGTCAAATTTTCCAAATTTTCCAAATTTCATTTAAGTACCGGGATATATACATTTAAGGAGTGCATTGTATGTATAAGAATTACTTTATTGGATTTTTCCCGAGAAAATAATCAAGATAGATAGATACCCGGGTATAAATCATGAACTAGGAAATACGCCGAGTACATATGTCAAAGAAATACAGTAAATGTTGAACCGAAATTTACCGAATAAATTAACGCAAATTACGAGCAAGGTCGAAAGAAAGGTATTTTCAAACATTAGGGGTTTCGTCAAATCAAAAATAGTTTTGTCAGATAGATAAAGTTTTACCAATATATATAGAATGGTATTTATACGGTATCTATATTTTATTAACTTTGGTTTTAAATTTTTTATAAATATATATAGTTTTTCTTGACTGAAGAGGTTATATTAATACTGAAAAAAATTTATTTACAGTTAAATTAATACTGTATAGTTGTATATATAATAGTCTTTTATATACAGTATATAATTATTTGATTTAGGCCGTTCTCAAGCATCTAAATCAATTGATTAA